GAAAGTATATACATATGATAAAGTTAAGATGACTTATTGAAATATATACTTTTTTAAATTTTTTTAAAATAATTACAAGTATTATTACTTTTTAGTTTTTTTAATTTGAATAAAACTTTAAAAAAAAGTGGACTTTACCGTTTGCTCATTTGACTAGTGTTGACAACAGCATTGTAATGCATATAGTTCCATTACTAGTATGCATATTTTTAATTTGGCAACAAATAAATCTTATTTTACTCCACGAGTTAGGTATTTTCTTTGCACCATTCTTTTTTTCTTTCTTTGAAAAAAAAATTAATTTTCAAAATTCTCAACTGTGACTGGTAAATAGAATGAATATTACAATAAAGGTTAAAACAAAGTTTGTTTGATAGAAGGAAAGCACACTGTAAATCCAACTGTATAGTACTTTTTAGAAAAAAGAAATCTGTTTCTCATTTCAAAATTGAATAAAGCAAAAAATTAAATTAAAGAGTATATTGGGCAAAATTATAGTTCATGAAGCAATTATTTTAATTTTTAAAACTATTTTATTGTTTATATGTCAGAACTATATTTTGATCAGTAAGCAATCACTAAAGGTTTGATTTTTTTTTGCCTACATCAAGTTAGATGGCACTTTTCTCAATGTGATTACATTATGCAATTAAGTTAATAGCATTTGTTTTGCAAGAGAAATGTAAATAAAATTGAAACTTATATTTCTATTTGATGCAAATTATATATTGCTAATGTATATGAGCAAAGTTATGTCAATTCTCCTGAAACTTTCAGATATGTATATATGACATTAAAAAAATGAATTCTAAGCAAAACGAAATATGATCGATCAAAAGTTTGAAAATTATGCAAATTGATTTTTGGCGCCAAAAAGTTTCAAGTGCTCTGATATGGAAAACTCTTGAAAATTTCTGGAAACTTAAAGAATTTTTTATTAATTATGTCCATAGTCCAAGTTTTGATTACTAAATAAATGCTGAATACGTTTAAATAATTTTATAATTCATTCCAAATTTGCATATTTTGTCGAAGTTTAAGATTTTACTTAAATATTTTTTTAATATTTTAAATAATTCGTTCATCAAGCTCTGACTTTATCCAAAATCACTGAATAACTGTGGACACTGAGATTGGTCTCTAGCATTTTAACTTTTCTAATGTAAAATCTATTAATGTAAAATTCATTTCGTTCTTAGTTTAGCAGTAATTAAACATACTAACATGGAAAAAGCATGTTAGTGATATAATAAGAGATAAGAAATTATTTATGAAGAGAATTTAGATGTTAAAGAACAATGGTTAAGAATGCACAAATAATTAGCTTTTTTTGCTCAATTTTAATTTGAATAAACAAAAAAGAAAATTAATTATTTGAATTTGAGAGCATCTTTTGAAAACAAAATTAGATAGATAATTGTTTACGTATTTAGTGCCCACAGTTTATTCAGTGATTTTGAATAAAATCAGAGCTCATCAGTGACTTAGTTAAAATATTTAAGTAATAAGATAGTGATACTTAATAAGGTAAAAAATTGTGAAACTACTTATACTCACTTAATAAAGGACAAAAATTTGAAGTATTCAGAAAAACAATTTAGTATAATTTATTCAAATCAGTACTATCGTTGTGTATTTTTTTACACAATTCTTTTCAATTGATATCAATCTGTAATATGCATTCATTGCTATTTTCTTCACTTCTATCTGATCATGAATGCGAAATTTAAAATTTTCAAAATAATTTATAATGCCAATACAATATTCAAATACAAAATGCAGCATTTTAAGACTAATTTATTATTTAGTGTATTAAAAATTACAAAGATAAAAAGAGAAGAAAAATCAGTTGGCAACAAAAGGAGTGATTTCAATCTTAAAATATTTTGCATAAATTATTTCTTCTGTGAACAACTATGCTTAAGCAACTTCTGAGTACAATTGTACAACACAGTAACAAAATACAAAAATGACAGTTTGCTCACTCTAAATAGCACTCACTAAGATATGTTTACACTCAAAGTTCAATTAGTTTAAGGAATACGCAATACCTGCATATTAATCAAATATGAAAATGAAAATGAAAATGAAATAAGTGATATGGCATAGAATTATCGTAAAATTTTTGTTTTGAATTCAATTTCAAGATAAGTTTTCACTTCAAGAAGACAAAATGAGAAATAACGAAGACATGGCAATTAAATGAGTCAAAGTTGATGTATTCACTAACTTATATGTAAAACAAAACGTGCTGAGAATTTGCATAACAATTTGCATGTTGTCCAATATATATAGCCAAGTATGCTGTCATATTAATTTATTTCAGGGCGGAGTGTAAACATTATTCTCAATGGTATGATATTCATTTGTAGTGAATATCTGGTCTGCCCGTTATGTTGTAATTGTTACTTTTATTCTTTGGTATTGCATTCATTTTATTCAGGTTTGGAGAGAAGAAGAAAGCCGAATTTATGATTAATGAATTAAATTAATCCCAAAACTACCTAAAGAAGATGTCACTGTGTAAACTATTTAGAATTTCTCAAGTTCTTTTTTTGCAAATAATCAATTCTTACATAATTGTAATTATTATTTTGTAATTCTGTTCAATCATATTGGAAAATGAAAATCATTAAATACGCAAAAATATGACAAAGGTTTGATACACAAAGTAAAATTAGCCATTTGAATTTAAAATGATATAATTAATTCTATTAGTATACTTTTGGTATTTGTACACATACTATATTTATTAATTTCGTATTATTATTATTTAAATAATGACAAATTGTTTCAATTATTACTAGTACTTACACTTAGCTAATTAAAAGTAGAAAGGAGTAATTAGCAGTTGTATTTGTGATGCTTATAAAAAGTATACTTTCCTTCAAGTTATATGCTTTATTTAAACTGATTGCATTAGTCTTTTTAGGTAAGAAATTGTGAAACTATTTATACTCACTGAAGAACAAAGCGGAGAAGAATTTGGAAAATCAGAAAAATCAGCTTTTTTTTGAGTCTTCAAGAATTGAATGCAAATAACTAACTTCTGAAAATTATAACATGCATAATTTTTCATTCTAGCTTTAGAAGTGATTATATCATTTGACATTTTAATCAATATGATAATGGTAATTATGCCATGATAAGATTAGTAAATTTATATTCAAATTGAAAAATTTTGACGCAACTATTTTATCGCAGTTCATTTTTGATAGATGGTAAGGACAAATAATCACAAACATTATTCATCGTCAATTAATGTCATCACTTTGTTTAGTTGCAAATTAAAAGTCAATTAAGCAAATTTAATTCAAATTGTTGAAGTCAGCTATCTAATGACCAATTATAGTTTGTTTGCTCGTTATCTTTCAAGGTTTTAGCAAAATTTAGCAACAAATTTATTTGTTGATTAATTAGCTTTTAATTATTACAAACACACTTTCAAATTTCGCTCAATATTAGTCTTGTCTCATTCGTTTCAACTATCAAAAATTGAACAAAGAATAATGTGCCCGAGGGAAAAAGCAAGCAAAACTGAAGGAATTTTTCAGTGAAAGCACGCAGCAAAAGTGAATAATTAATTAATTTTTTAATATCAATTCTGTCGTTCTAAACCATTTTCCTTTTCCAATTTTTTAGAAACTGAAACTTGTTGTCATTGTTAGACATCGTTGATCGAAATAATCTGCAAATTCACAGGAAATGAAAAAATGTAATCTACCACAGTAAATACTTAATCATATTACCGTCCTCAATTTTTCAAAATTTTTATTCCATTTCCACAACCAAATTTAACAATGATCACTAATCAAACAACAAGTCTTTGCTTGTTTCACTGCTTTTTTTAACATTTGCATCCAATATTGCAAATTTGAAAGCTATCATATTCCATGATATTTATTGCTGCAAAACAAATCTTATAAATCATATTCCATAATATTTATTGCTGCAAAACAAATCTTAACCAGCACCTACTACTAATAATGGCAGAAAAAAAAAATACAGAAGTTTCTGACAACTCTTATAATATTTCAGATTGAAATAAAAACTTAACTTTAATGATGATTTAGAATGAACTTATAGAAGTCAAGATTTGATCCCATGCTTGAAGCAGGCCTCACTTAATGACAAAAATGACAAAATTCAAATATATCACAGCATTCCTAATTTTTTATCAAGTTTGTCATTGTGCTTAATATCATTATTACTAAGGTTAATTATACATGAAACTGCAGCATGCGTCTCCCTTGAGTTATCTGACCATTTGACTGTGGACTGCTTATTCAATCAATTTCCTTGCCTTATAGAAAGTTATCTGACCAGTGATTTGCAATCACTGACTGTGTTCATAATTCCAGTAATAATATTTTCCTTCCAATAAACTAATTCACTGATCCACCTCTCCCATGCCTTAATGATCTTAATTTTCAAGTTCTTAAAAAAGTAATCCACATATACAAAGTACCAACTCCCAACTCCTTACTTGGAATTTTAGAGAATGGCCTCTCTTCAAAATTCGAGCTTTTTCAAAATATATTTATGAAATTTCGGTTAGCGTAACTCACTGTTAGAAGACTAAATTTCATAAAACTATAATATTACGAACACAGTACAGAAATGTCAACACTGTTTATCAAATTAAGATTCTTTACTTAATTTTATGGCCTTCTTAATTGCTTACAGCTTAATTATTTATTGTTTTTAAGCCTGTTGAGTACATAGACGTTGAGTTTATAAGTCTTCTGTTTGTTTATCAAATTAAGATTCTTTGATTAATCATCATTACTGATTGAAAAATTTGTTTCTATATAAAACAGATTTATTTTATGGCGAGCAATTTTAAATAAGATCGCACTATCAGCAAAATGCTTGATAATGATTAAAATTCTTATAAACTATGACAATGCGCAAATATTTGGTAGATCAGAATAAATAATTGCTATGAGATTAAATTTTTGCTTATATTCTGTTAATCCCTGCACTACAGCAGATAAATTTCACATTTTCTGCAACATATCCACTGTACGGACATATGGCTGTAATTTAATATCATCCATCGTATGTCCACGAACAAATACAGGAGGAGTATTGTGGTAGAGATCAGAAATAAGAGCATCGTTTGAAATCACTTCATCGTCCCTCGAGAAATTTACTGCTTCATCAATCTGGAAAAGGACAGTTCCGATAAGGCAAGAAAATTGATTGAATAAGCAATCCACCAAACAATTGCTGAACTTATTTTGCCTCGCAATTAAATGCTAACAAATGTATGAAAGAAGAATAATCTATCCCTCATTATGCTTATTTTATAAAAACTTCGACAACAAAAACTACGTCAAATTACAATTACACTTATTTTAGTGTCAAAACTTCAAAATACCTCATTTTTTACTTCCTTATCAATCGCCTTTAATTCATCTTTTGTGATCAAATTCGAAGAAAGAACTTCATTTTTGAACCGTGCGATTGGATCCGAGCTTTTTCGGACTTCTTGTACTTCCTCACGAGTTCGATAACTAAAAATTCCAGTCACTTGTTTTGTTAAAAATTTACATAACATAGCATTTTCAATTTTGACTTCAACTAATTCCAAATGATTTTGATGCATACAGTTAAAATTGATACTTTTCAGTTTTAGTTACCTTGTTCCTGGATCAGCAACGGAATGTCCGTAAAATCGATACGTCGCAAATTCGACAAATAATGGACCTTTGCCAGAACTACTATAATTTCTGGCAAACTTCGTCGCTTCTCGTACCGCCAGTACATCCATTCCATCAACCTAATTTATATTTCTTTCTAAATCTAACACTAGCACAGTACCATGTCTCAAATGTCGCTATATGAGGAAATTTCGTTCTGTAAAAAAATACTTTGAAAACATACCCAAATACCAGGGATATAGTCACCTCGAGCATAATAATTTGTAGATGCTGACGAACGTTTTGCGGGAGTACCCAAACCATAACCGTTATTTTCACAAATGAACACACATGGCAGTTTCCATAAAGCGCACATGTTCGCTGCTGAAACAATTTCAGTAAACTGAATGCCACGTTTTAAATAAATACCACCTTTGTTTTCAACTGAGAACAGAAAAAAACTATCAAAAAATAATGTAATAAACTATTTAATCGCAAATCTATTCAGCAATTTGAGTGAAACCCTGAGTTATCTGAAATGCTTGGCCTTTTTCTAAATGATATTTTGGAGCCGCGTCTCTGCGCTTATTACATGAAATGATCATCAAGAACTTTATCAAGTTCAACCCAACAATTCACCTTCAGCAAGTTGTCCTTGATTAGCAGCACCATCACCATATAACGTGAAGCATATATTTGGCTTCTTCTTATACTTGAGCGCGAAAGCTATGCCGGCTCCAATAGGTTGTTGAGCACCAACAATTCCATTTCCACCGTAGAAGTTTTTGCCGTACATATGCATGGAGCCACCTTTACCATGAACACAACCATGAGAACGGCCTGAGAATGAATTAAATTTCTCGAAACTACTCAGTATATGAAAGAAATGCAGCTTTTTTATAAATTTCTTCGCCAAAACATCCAAAATCTCAAAAAAGATTGACTCAGATAGGTTCAGTTGGACAAATTATAAGCTTAATGTTTTTATTACAATCACGTGCTTTCCTTTCATGTTTTTGCAAATTTCACCCGTACAGTTTTCTTACTGGACTAACCGAGCAATTCTGAAATAACTTCTTTCACAGTCAATCCAGCCAAATATGCAAATCCATGACATCGATAAGCAGTTATGATCGCATCATCAGGTTCTTTTCCAGCATGAACACCAACTGCACAGGCTTCCTTCAATAGATTAAAGCAGTAGTTTCTTGACAACGCTACATTTCAATGAATTTAACTGGTAAGATATACTTGCAGGAGGTTAAAATTGACTCTTTCTTTTAAATATTTAGTTAGGGCTGAATAAGAAATATAAACTTTATAATTAGAAACAAGAAAAGACAATTCAACCTGTCCAGCATATAGATGACAGAAACCTCGAATTTTTCGTTCTTTGTATAACAAATCAGCTGCTTGCTCCATTCTACGAATAGCCTAAATTTACTGGGAAATATGAGAAAATTTATCATGAATATGTCTAATAAGACAGTTTGCAACTGACTGCCAAGTGAAGAAAATTTTTAATAATCACTTCTAATTATGATTAGTGATCTGAAATCTTGCAAAATATGATTGGTCCTATAGCTTAGCAACAAAATGATGAACAATACTTGACAACTTTCAAGAATTTTGATAGCTATTTTTCGAAATAAATTCGAGGAAGTGAACTGAGTAGTAAAAGTACAATTTAAGTGAACTGCATGCATTCACATAGCTGAATACACCTAAATCAATTCATTCCTTACCACGTGTTGAACTTTTAAAATGTTAAAAATATCAATGACGTTACACTTAGCAGTTAATGACTTCCATGAATACACTGCAACCGTTGAAGTGGTTTGAAAAGAAAATTACAAAAAGGTGATACCTGCATCTGTCGATACATTACCAAAGCATCTGATTTTTTAAGTGTAACATTTGTTGATGGACCAGAATCTAATCGGTGCAATTTAAATGGTTTTGTTTCGAAAGTCACTTCATTGACAAAACGAACTGATTGAAGAAGTATAGATTTACGCTGAAAATGTGGAATTTGCGAATGCTAACTAATGAAGTTTTTCTCATTTGACTGATTTTTCATTCCATTCTGACTTGAAAATATACGTAACTTTTATATGATGTTGTCTATGAATAAAACTGTTGCAATTTTATTTTGTAATAGTCAATAATATTTTTGCATCATTGTTTTGAAGCTTAAAAAAGATTCTAGAAAAGTATAAGAGGACAGTTCTCCAAAATTAGCTTCAATCTTCACATAAATGGATAGAATCATCTGATATCCTTATTATTTAGTTTCGTTAAATGATAATTGAAGGAATGGAATTTCGATAATCTCATAAGGACAATGTCAGCGATAATTAACATTTAATAGCTTATCCGTGGAGTTATATTAAAGCAATAAATTCAGTATTTCACTTAAACATGCGCAGTAATCATTTTTTCATAACTGTAGGTTTTCAAGAGAATTTTTATCTGTGATCTCGCAGATTTTTTTTACAACAATAGTCACCATATTATTATCAAATCATCAAAGAGAAGAATAAGCAACAACAATAAGTGATTGCTTAGATTACTGAAAAATATATCATGGTTACAATTTATATTTACTGACCATTAAAGAAGGAAATCGATTAGCAGAAGATAAAGCGTTGAACATTGTAGCACTCAAGTTTTTTCCAGAGCACAACAATTGCTAGTTCACTTCTACAGCACCAAGAACACTGCAATGAATGCAAAACACAACACTCAAACACCGAATCATATATTCATTTCAAAATTTGCATAAATTTTCTATTGATCGCTGACGAATGACGTGGGCTATGCAGTTTAATTTTACTAATTATATCGTAAATTATCAGTTTACCAAAGGTACAAATTAGCCTTAGATTGATCAAACACTCAAAATTGACTATAACTTGCATTCAAAAAAAATAATGATTAAATAATTTAATCATCACTTATTATGTTCTTAGCGTCTTCTATCATCTTTTAAAGTTTATGATCGAATAGAATTTCTATCATACATTAAATTTAAATTTGAAATAAAGGAGACGATTATAACGAAATACTCGTATGCGGTGGGTTCTGACAAGTAAAACGGACGTAATATAATTCATAATTTTCAATCTGTACATTTATTTAAAATCAAAAATAGACGGAATGTTACACGTCATCAAACAAGTGCATTTAAAAATACACAATAAATGAGGACAAACCGCTCAATAAAAAATAACGCAATGTCATTCGAAAGAAGGTCACGGCGGGAAGTGGTCATTCAATATATCCGTTAGTCTATGTTCACTGCACATCTCCTTATCATTTATTCTTGGGTTATTATAGTAACTATGTCACTGAATCGCATAGTCATTAGGGTTATATTTTTTTCTTTAATTCCTTTCTGATCTTTGAGACTCTAAGTTCAGTTTTGATATTTCATGTAGTCTGCGTGATCGTTTTTATTTTATAACAAGCGCAATAATATCAAATTTTATTGTGGTGAATATCTATCTCCTTTACAATACTGACTTATAAAATGAAAAAATAAATAAATATTACTTGCTAATACAACAAAGACACTGTTATTGACTGAATTAGTAATTAGTCATATATTGAAATGAACAGAATGTATTCAGCAATTACAACAAATAAATAGATAGTACCGTAAGTGAAAGGTCATGTCACGTATATATCTATCTAAAAAGTGTAAGGGTAAAAAAGACTTCTTCAGCTTTGACCTTCTCTCTCGTGATATCATGTTCTCTTTTTTATCGACTTTTTTGTTTTATACTTTTAAACTCAATTTTTTGCATATAACTTGTCACATTTTTTTATTTTTTAAAATTAAAATTAGCCTTTTTTCCACTTGCATTTTTGATTCGCTTCAATCTCTTTACCTCATCGTTAATCATTTATTACTGACCAAAAATCATTCACTTCATTTATTCACCAAAATTCTCCTACTACTTTGACTACCTCTTCTTTTTGTAATTTGAAATAAATAAATAAATAAATAAATAAATAATAATAATAGCAAATCTGTCTTATCTTTGATAATATATAATAGATTGATTGATGACTGGTAAATTTTTGCGTAGAGCATTGGTTTTCTGCAAGTGCTTTTTTTTCTTACAATTCTCTTTGCACATACTTGCTATACTAAACATTCGAGACTGAATATGAATCACGGTTTGTTCAGAAATGCAATTTTTTCAAGCAAAAAAAGAAAAAAAATTTGAAATGGAAAATAAATTGAAGAAGTCTGACTTCTCACAACTTGTATATCAGTTTCGTACTGTAATTATACTTGACTTATACTTCGCTTTCTGCCACTTCCCACTTTTTCTAGCCACTTTTACGGTTTTTTTCATTATTTCCTACTGACTATACCTCGTTGTTCCCTCTAATAGCCTACTCTTTACATGACTGCTGTCGTCCTATGCTTACTAAGAATTACACATTTGTACCGTTTATTGTCAACAACCCCAATTCCTTTTGTTGTGGTTTAAGATCTATACTGCTACCGCATGTTAATGGTCGGTTTAACTTTATTTGTAATCATTATGAACTTGAAGATATCGTAGTGGTCCACACTTTTCTTACAAAATATTTATGCGCAATTTTTCAGCTTTAAACGCTGCTCGGAGCTCAATATAGCTTCATGTTTAAGAGCAAGCATTATTGTCATGATGATGAAAAAGTTTTTCCTTTCATGCTTTTTACAATCATTAATGTTATAAGTAAAAATGATAGCTGTGTAATATGAAGAACAATAATGCATCTTAGTAACAGTTGCGCATTCTTGTCCGTACAAAAGTGGTAACTATTTTATCAGTTCTAATAGATAATTATTATAAATTGAAGTTTGAAAGTTGAATCAAATTACACAAACAAGACAAAAGAAATGATAGAAAATGTATATACGTTATAAGCATATCGTAATCTGTCTTTTGTTGCCAATTATAACATAAATAAACTGAAGTAACTAAAAAGCGAGAACTCTTCAACATAAATAAATTTTCCAAAATAAAGTTCTTGTTTGAGCAACTGAAATACTACACTTTGATTACTCTTCTCAATAAAAAAAAGTGCAAAAATAATTGATGCAATTCACAAACTGAAAGCTGAATATGAAATATCTAAGATTATTTTAAAATGTATTACCGCAGAAGTTATATGGCCTACCTAAGACCAGTTTAGAAATTTTTTCAATAAAATTGTTAAAAGTTAAGAACAGCAATTAAAAGACGGCAAATAAACAGCAAATCTATGCGCTTAAACCCATTTCTCTCATCAAATCTTCAGTTCTGCAGTGTTTTTGTATAACACTTTCATCTAGGGTTACCCCACGTACATACTGAGGTGGTGTATTGTGATAAATATCACAGTATAGAGATTCCGGTGGAAGAGGAGGTTCATTGTGTGCAACCTTCACTGCTGCATCGACCTGAAATTATACCAATTTTTGATGCTAAACAAAATCAAAAAGCACTGCTTACATGTTAATTGCCGTAATTCAAATAATTTCATTTTTTAGCCTCGAACTTCGCAAATTTTTCATTTAATTTCAAAACATAAATCAAAATAATTGCAACGGTCATATATTTCTCTAAACCACAACTGAAATTTACTTCTTTTTTAGCTTCTTTATCGAATTCTTTCAGTTCATTCTCTGTCGCCAGTCCAGCACTTACAATCTTGTCTTTAAAACTCGTGACCGGATCACGAGTTTTACGAACTTCTTGTACTTCATCACGAGTTCGATAACTATAAGTAATATGAGTACATGTTAAAAGCACTCAACATATTTTTGAGTTTAAACGTTTTTTAAATTAACCTTGTTCCCGGATCTGACATCGAGTGACCAGAATATCGATAGGTAGCTAATTCAAGCATCAGAGGTCCTTTTCCACTATTACAATACTCTCTTGCCCATCGAATTGTTTCTCGCACAGCAAGCACATCCATACCATCTGCCTGAAAACTCAACATATCATTTTCTTCTCATAAAGTCCAATTATAACTCATTAAAAATTTTTAAGATTAATATTTACGTCAATATTGTTATTATTAATATCATTTACTCTAGTAAAACACACCCAAATTCCTGGTATAAAGTCTCCTCGCGTATAGTAATCTGTAATAGCAGAAGCACGATGAGCAGGAGTACCCATACCATATCCGTTATTTTCGCAGATAAATATGCACGGTAGACTCCATAATGCACACATATTGATAGCTAGAAAAACTTAGGTTTAATTATGTGTTCTTCAATTCCATTACACATCTTGCTATAAACACTTCCCATATATAATACAGTAGTTTAGAAATATTATTTTTATTCAAAAGACTGTCTTAACTTCCACAGTATATTTTATTTCAGACAGCCCTGTATTTTTTGAATCAAGTAATTTTATTGTTATAATGAAAATTGCTTTTACAATCATTGTTAACTACGAAATATGAATATTGTAATAGATTGTATGGAACACAAAAAAAATTCCTATCATTCGCACTGTATTGCTCATTCATCATCAAACCTCATCATTCTTTGCTTTTTATTAGTGCTTGATAACGTACAAGTGTAAAGCCTTAGAATATTAGAAATTTATTAACTTGAAGCAAATTATTTTTCATATTAGATTACGATTTACGTTTGAGACGGATCTTACCTTCATAAAGTTGTCCTTGATTCGCTGCACCATCACCGTATAAAGTATATGCGACATTTTTTTGATTATAATACTTATGAGCAAATGCAAGGCCAGCACCAAGTGCTTGTTGAGCACCAACAATTCCATTTCCACCATAAAAATTTTTATTATACATATGCATAGAACCACCTTTTCCATGTACATTTCCTGTGCGTCGACCTGACAAACACCATTTATTGCTTAAAGTCCTTTAAAGTCATTTATAAAGTCAAACTTGTACTCATTGTTCATTTTAATATTACAGAATTTTTTACTTGAACTGTTCAACGAAATTTATCTGTTCTATTTGTTTATTACGTTTTATCTGTTTCAAATCTATCGTATTAGATGACACTAATATCGATAACCTGTTAATTCCGATAAAATCTGTGATATTTTCGATCCAGTCAAATAAGTCCATGCATGGCAACGATATGAGGTAATTATACTGTCATCTTCGCCTTTAGATGCGCACAGTCCAACTGCCACTGCTTCCTGTTGTTATTGTATGTTAGTACATGAAATTTGTATTAAGTGAAAGAAAAGATGCAATTTATGCACCAAATAATGCTTTCAGAAACTATAAAATTATTATAAAGTACTCATTATCGCCGTAATAATAATCTGAACTTTATGAACTAAAATTACTTTGCTATTAAACTGATAATTTTTACCTGTCCAGAATATAGATGGCAAAAACCACGCACTAATCTCTCCTTGTATAGATTGCTTGCAGCTGTTTCCATGCGCCGAATCGTCTACAATACTTCACTTATTTATGCAAGATCAAGTAGTTTTAAAAAAATGAGCTAGCGATAAATTAAAAAAAAAAAACAAACCGTCATCTTTCGATAATAATTCAAGGCATCTTCTCGAGTAACGGTTACATTTTGCGACGGCCCAGATTCCAGACGATGTAATTTATATGGCTTTGTCTGAAAATGAGCTTCATTGCTAGCCAGACGAATCGAAGATGCTATCAGCGAATGTTGTTGCACAGGAACCTATAATATATTGCCGATAAACATACTGAAGTGCGTAAGTTTCGTCAATTTATAGTGATAAAACACGGATAGTAATGCCCTATTCAAAATAGTAAATTTTCTTTGTAACAATTATTTGAAAATACAAAATAGTATTATTTAATTTACCTTGGTGGTTTTGAGGACATTGGAGAAGACGTTTATCATAATGGTACCGATTTAACTTAAATTCCCCTTTAATATATGCAAACTGAAACACAACTCAAAGTTCATAAAAAGATTTTTAAACATGAAAACGAATAAAACGAAGAAATTAATATGAATTTGTACATTATCGTACCAATTAATTGCAAATTAATTAATTTTATCATAAAATGCCTCAATTTCAACAGCACGAAGTAAAATTTTTCACTATTATGAAGGTCATAGTAGTGATCGATTGAACTTGCAGATTTCATACTCAGTTAAACACGAATAAGAAGAAGTTTAAATTATTATATATATCTGTGTATAAATCCATATATATAGCACTAATTTACTGAAAACTCTGTACCAAACAAGTATCGAATTTTATCGTTGTAATATGTTTAACATGCCAAGTAATTCCGACTAAAACTAAAGAGAATATTTTAGCGTAATACTGTGGAACAAAAGTATTATTATGCTGCGGAAGGTTATCATTTATGTACTAATAAAACTTTTTTAAAAGTAAGATTTAGCGTATATTTGTTAGTGATTCTACAGCGAATACAACGATTATTATCTTTTCTATCTTAATCATTTCTCAATTGATTATTGTATTCCGTTTCATTCATGAAAAATGAAGTATGATCTTTAAAGAGAACGATTCTAATTAATGTCTTACTGTTATGAATATTAGTAAAGACATTTTCCGAAATTAATATCACGCTAAAGTCTCAGATTCTTAACTGGTTTGACAAGATTAATATTAGTGCGAGGCTAATTCAACCTCTAAAGCCTTTCATAGAACGAGAGAAGATCGTAATTCATGCAACACAGATTTAAATAATTTAAATTACAACCTGTACACTATGACTTATATTTCATTACTTTTAAAATGTAATAACAGTTACTGCAGATAAGGTGTACAGGAATACTTTTCGGTTATATGCTAGTATTTAATGGTTACAGCATGATGGAGTAGTCTATGAAAAGTGTAATACCATTTGTGTGTTATACGGGTCAATAAAACTATAATAATAGTAACACTAATAACCTCAGTATGCAAAGCAATAATCTAAATTAAAAAATGAGAAAAAACATGAACAAAAACTACGACAGTTTATGATATGCATTAAGCAAGAGTGAATATAATTAACGAAAAAATTTATGAGCGTTAGCAAAATGAAATGTGATGAGAGTAGAGAAAGTAGGGCGAGCACGTGTCATGTTTATAATGAAAATAAAAAACAAAGTCTAGCAAAATTCACGTGGGACTGAGGAATTTTCCAACTTTAAATCACGTGCAATCGACGCTTGACGACGTATCACATTATATGAAAAAAGCAAAAGACAAACTAATTTTCCTGCTTATTTACTTTCTTAAGAAGTGGTGTTGAGTATGAACGAGACTGCTATATAATTGTTTCAAGTCTGAATGCCTCATTTCAGCGCTTTACTGAAGAAATTTTAGCAACAGACTGCAAACTCTAGCATAATTTTTGGCCACTTCAATAATTCTAAATTTTTAAAAAAACGATAATAATAATAATAACAATAATAATAATAATAATAACAATAATAATAATAATAACAGTAATAATAATAATAGTAATGAAAATAAGGATAAGCAAAACTAAACAATTTCAGGTTCAAGGACAATAAATGTAAAATGAATAAGGTTGGTTAACTTACTATATATAGCATATGATATGGCATCAATATTTACAAGCATAAATTTTGTAGTGATATTATTTGCAGTAATGATTATACCAATAATGATAAGTACTAGTGAGTATTTATTCATAAGCAATGAGGTTGCAGTACTATTTTTTGTTATTATATAATTTCCTGGTTTGCACAGATATGCATTATTTTCGACCAATAAATATTAAAAATTGATCTACGTGAAATAAGTTATTAATGAGCTGTCTAAGTTATACCATCTACAAGCGTAATTTATTTTCGTGCATTTCACTTAAGTAACTTAGAAAGCAGTTAGTTGCCCATCCATCTATCTATCTAAGCGTACGTAAATACATATACATACATACATACATACACACGTACACTACTGAATCGATCGCCTCACAAATATTCACTCTTTATGCCTCTTTATATTATATATACATACACGTATATATCGTCAAGGACTTTTCTTCTCTCTTCTGTTCGTTTTCCCTCTCTTCTTCAAGCAAACAAATCATCGTAAAAAATCATTGAGACGTAAGTGTAGTTGAAATAAATATGCATTGCGTACGTAATGAGTGAAAATTTATTAAAATATGTGCTGATACAATATGTGATTGGTATACTAAGGAATAAACGTATTTTACAAACGTGCATCACGTATGGGTGTCCTTTCTTGACGTTATAGTTTTTGAGTAAAAGAATTGTAGTAAAAGTAATTTGAAACTTTTAAAAGAAGCAGTAAATAAACGATCGACAATTGTTATATTCCTATCATTATATATGAAGGTAAAGAAAATTAAGATGGGTGTATTGGTTTAGTTTGTTTGAATAATTGCTTAAGTCATCAAGTTTCAGAATGAAAATAAGAGCTAAGAACCAGTTGTTAATCAATGTTGGTATTAATAGATGAATAATGTTTTCATCTCCACTACATTTTTTCTCATGAAGAACGTTGCCGGGAACAATAGTAAATTACATGGCAGTGATATGATAATAGTATCTTTATAAAATTATTGCAATAAGTTATGCGGGACTGTCACTATCGCTATAATAATCATTTTTTAATGCTAGTCAGTTTTAGCAGTCTCATCGTTTGTGTGCTTAAGAGCTATGATCACAAAGTATTATTTGCAGTTATTGTTGTATGTTTAGGTTTTAGAGTGAACAGTACTAGGCAGAGATATCTCAGCTAACTAGCAAGCATGTTTGAGCAAAATGATAAGTGATAGCAGTGGTAACGATAGCTGGAACTGTGTTAATACATGTTAATGCTAACAAATGTGTTCGTCTTATTTCGGATAACATTATCATTTGCTTTAGATCTGTTATTTATAGACAAGGCAATGAAACGCCTAAAATTTTGTCCATAATTTTTTTTCTGGAAGGGTAATATTAGTGTAGTTAGCGATTGGCATCTGGCAGTAAATTTCGTATTATCAAGATGTAGCAAGGAATTATTCTGATGGAAGACTGTTACAAATCACATATGTGATTCTATTACTGTTATTGAATTACAACTATATTTAGCTTGGATGACAAGTGAATGTAAGCCGAACTGCGACACACTTCCTTTTGCCGCAGTTACTATTTACGCCTTGTAGTAGAAAAAACTTTTCTGTGCACACTAACAATCTGCAACTGCAGTTTCAAACTAATATCGGAATGACTGAACCCATTCAACTGCCAGCTATGGACTGCCATATACTATGTAGTGCTCCTTTCATGATCAGATCAGCGATTAGTCAGCTGATACTAGGATGTTTCGAAAATTGTGACCGACATGCCAAGTTTCTCCATTTTTTATTACACTTCTATTCTTATTCTAGATACTGCCAAAGAAACTTAAAAATCACCAGTTACTTGCCATACACCACTGATATTTCTCGTTCCAGAAAATAGCCACTTAAATATAAGTACTATTCACAGTGCATTTGCTTCATTTTCCGCCAATACTTACGGTCACATACTACTGTAATGTATCCAAAAGTACCGAAATAAATCTCGACATCCGGATTCATGACGTAATTATGAACTTGCATAAAACAGGTTACTTTCTACTGACTTGTAATAACGAAACACATAAGAAATTCAAACATTGTGTAAAACAGTAAGGCTTTCTTCAATGAACATGAATAATGCAGTAAAACAGTAGTACGCATTCTCAGTATCTATCAACTTGATTAAAACGAACTTCCTACTCCTACGGAATTTCATCACCGCTTTAATTTGAAAAGTATTAAAACCATTGGAAACCTACCAAAATATATTTATAGGTGTGCATTACGCAGAAAACTATCACAAAATCTATATATCCTCAATATTGAGCTTCCATTGCATTAAAATCAACTTAAAGCATAATCATTTTAAACCTATGAATCTGTAAAATTAGCTGTACGCAGCTAATGCAAAAAGAAATGCTTCTAAGTCTCACTACCAATAGAAAGCAATAAGTTCAACGATTCTAATCAGTAAAATTACTTCGCTTCTTTTGGTGACCTCTACTTTTATTGACGACTTACCAATGTAAATAACTAGCTTAAATGATACTGATCGGAATATTCGATCGCTAAGTGAAGTAAAATTATTAAAACACTAACAACTTCATCGTGCCCTAAAATACTCATAAACTTATCGATCATACTACGCGTAAACAAAGTAAATGTAAATCAAAGAGAAATTCCACTTCTTTGTAATGTATTCAAAAGTATTCTCAAGACATCACATTCATCAAATAGGTGTGAATACATTAATTTAGCTGTCTACTGAAGTCTTTTTTCATTCCTTCTTCGCACGCAGTTTGCTGTTCATCCACTGACGAATTCTGGCTTTCAGAGCATCATCTGTAAAAATTCAAAATCTAGTATTCTAGAACCAAACTAAAAGCACATAAGGTTGGCTAATATAATTTGAGCCAGTTGTATATTACGCTAATAATACACATCAGATTAGATAATTTCCAGGTTACCTTGCTATGAACCGTAGTTTTTTAGTTTTTGCTTCATTCTTCATCTCTTTTTCTTTTTTTTAAGTTACAAACTTTTTCCAGCATTTGGAGCAAAAATTTGATGAAAGATTAAAATAAGTACCAGTCACAAGCTGAGTTTCATTCAATGGCTGTCGAGTAAACGGATCAGTCTGAGAACTAAGCAAATGACGCATGATGTGTTTCCGATCCATTTTATGTCCTGATGGTAGAATTACAGGATCAGTCATTAGTGTATTCATTACAGGGTCTATAATGAAAACATAATTACGCATTTACAGTGACGAAATATTTTCCAAAACATTGCCCGATAATCAGAATAAGAAATGTAAGGACATAACGATAGAGAGAGAAGTGTGAAACTGTTAAAAATTGTAAATAAATGAAGGCAGTTTTATTATTTCCTATATGACTACATTTTCATGTGATACATTGTGGGTAACTGTGTTTTAAAAAATCAGTAGCATTCTAAATAAATCTGTACCATATTTCAGGAACTTCAGAATAATTCATTATTTAATGTTTGCAGAAATTTGCAACAAAAAAATCTACAATAAATGACACAAAGTAACCTCTGAAGTCATCAGGAAAATCATCTCCAAAATCTTCTTCATTCTGAGCTTTTTGCTTCCAAATTCGTTCCGTCATGTCGGCAAGATTCTTCAAAAGTTCAATATCATTATTTGGTACTATACCATTCAGAGTTAACCGTGAAAGGACCATCGCGAAAACTTCGGGGGAATATGAGCGCTGTAAAAGCTTGATTATTATTGTTAAGCATTGTTAAGACAACTAAGCTTGCCAGAACTTTGATAATAAAATTTAATTTTCACAACAAAAAAAAAACAAGAAAGGTATGACATCATTAATGTCATACCTTTCTTTACTTGTTTAATATACATATGTACTAACGAATAAGAACCTCATCATTAGCAATACATTCAGCAAACTTCTCGGACGACAAATTCAAATATACGTTCACGATTTGCTGAAGCAGTGCTCGCGGTTCCCACATAAATCTTCGTACAGCATCGCGTACTTTTAATTCAGTACATTTCGGACCGCATAACTGCGATACATTATAGTCCAACATTGAGGCTAAACGTTCTCCTAGTAACTAAAATATGTCTCTCTTTAAAGTATGTCTTGAAGGCTTTTTAAAAAATGAGGAAGAGAACTGTCTGGTTTATAAAATGGTTCATAAAATACACACTGGTTCATAAAATTTACTGCGACTACTATACAATTATGTCCGAGACAGCACCTGTTCCAATCATTCTTATTTTCCTCATGACCTGCATTATACTTTTAAAACATAAAAGCCCTTCTTTGCATAGTAAAATACTTAAGTAATCAAAAAGTTAACATTTCGAACAACTAGAAAACATAAAGAAATTAAATTTAAAACACACTGGTTCATAAAACGGCTGAGGTGCATTAGCAGTCAGATACGTAAAAAGATCCATTGTGTCGCGTCCAAGTATTAACCAGTTCCGCACAGCTCGTTTCGCCTCAAACAATGCATCTTCTTTTATTTGACGCTCTTCATCCCCCAAAGTAGACCACTCTTTGCTTTCCATTAAAGTCTCAATATCATGTATTTTTTTCAGAGCAAGCAATGACTCATCTAACAAATATGTAGCATCGTTGATGACCATATTGATAAAACGAATGAAATCAGGTGGACAATTTCTAAAAAACGAGGGGGCAGGATTAAATATTACCAAACATGACAAAATTCTAACTTAGAGCCTTCAACTTTCACTCTCAAAATTAAAGTCTAGCATTAAATCTTTCACATACATTTCTTAAAATAATTTGAATGCTTAAAGATAGAAGTTCTACCAAAAATTTCGAAATAATTAGACATATCAGACTTAATTTCAGCGACTTCAAATTTGCACTCTATGATGCATTCACAAACAGATTTCTGTCTCAGTGGAAAAAATTACCTTGCATAGGAAGTAATAATGCTTCTATAAATTGTACTTTCCCAAAGAGATCGAAATATTACTTGTATAGACCTCCTGATATTGAACTTATCATAAAATTCTGTGCTTGCTCCTGTTGATTCCACATCTTCAACAAATTAAATTAAAAAAAATAATTGAAAAACCATGAAATTAAATGCAAAAACAAAGTAATCTATATCGATTGACAGAAAAATACCTGCATAAAATTTGACTAGATTAGGAAAGAGTCTATTAATAGCCAGTTGTGAATTGATAATAGATAAATAAAATGGAACCGCAGCAGGCAAAATAGACGGACAGATCATGAATAATACTTCTACTATCTGAAATAACTTCCAGTTATTCATTAGGTGGAAACAAGCTTAATATCATATATTCTTGATGAATGATAGTATTTAGACGGTGACATCTAAAAGTGGCTACTCATCACCTAGCATATCTGATCAGTACTATTCATTATCTGTATATATCATGATTGAAAAGAATACTTTCGAAATAAATTAAGCGACTTCTATTCTACAACTAAAATAAGGAATACCAGTTTTACTAGAGTGTGTCAAATGCAATTTGAAAATTATAACAACTTCATGAAATGTACAATACAACGATGTGTATACTGAACAATTATAAATATAGATACTTATAGACAATAACAGTGCACTGAAAAATTGCTGGAAAAACATGTTTAAAATGTTTTAAAAAACCCAAACAATTCTTGAAGACCAAGATTCGAAAAGAAAAAAACCTTTGCTGCAAGGAATTTATTGTTGAAAAAATGAGTACTGCAAATAAATATAAGCAGTTTTTGAGGTAAATCTAATCGACTTTCCACAAACGTGACTGCATTATTTCTGTAATATGAACAAGATGAATACATGAGATGATATATGTAACTTAGTGTGAAAATAAGTGACCAATAGTTGTTAACACGGGCTTTAAAAACAAGTGCAAATCAAATTTTACTAACTTCAGGAGAAAAAGGAAGAAATCTAGAGAATTTTCTAGAAAGAATTCAGGCATTGCTCCAAATAATTCAGGCGCTTCTAGAGGAAGTAAACCATTTTGAGAGCTAAAAAGAAACAAATAGAATGCTTAACTATAATTGTTTTCCATTTATCTCTTTTACGATGCATATATTATCAAAAATTATGCAACATGATAACTAACAAGTTAGGGTTGATAATGTTGATAATAAAAGTAAGTTGGCAACTACAGAATTCGAGAGTTCGATATAGAAAGACTGGATCATACAAAACTGCTTCCATACACATGAGACTTCGAATTATTTTCTGAAAGGATAACAAATTATGTAATATTGTACTTCATATTCACGCTTTTTGATTGTAAAATTCAAATTAATCATGGTGTGTCAACTGATTATTAGTGCAGTGACGCTACTTCGATTTTAAAACATGATTAATGAACAGATCTCTTGCAACATATTGCAGCAGCAAGTAGTTTTTAATTTTCAGTACTCAATAAAATCGCAAGAAAATAGATTATTAAAAGTCACAAGTTGGGTTTTAGTACACATGTATGAAATGAAACTTAAACTTGAGTTTAAAGAAAAGGATAAAATAATCATACAACACGAAGAGATTCTGCTTGTTCTAGTTTTGTTTCGATAATGGCTTTCTCTCTAACTTGCAGAGCTAATAATCGATTTAATTGGGCTTTTAACTCCTTTATACCGCTTTCAACGTCATACTGAGTAGTTTTCAAATATTTTAAATATCCAATAGCAGAAGAGAGTGACAGATGCTGCGCTTGCACAGTCAGGAAGAAACATTCCGTAGGAAATTTGATTTCGAAATTAGTATCTAGAAAATATGTGCTACTAAAATCAAATAGATAACGTTAATTGCTGACTTATAACAACAGCATTTTGAACATGACGAGAAAACTTATGTGCATTAGTGAAAAATATAAAAATTAAAATTAGTGCTAATATTTGAGAAGCTAGTGTAAATTACTGATAAAGCAGCTTGAGAAATTGGATAAAAAGAGTACCAATTTTTTTGGCAAATGCTTTCGCCTGCTCCAAATCCAATTTTAATCGTGTTTCATCCGAAAAATCAATCCTGCATTTCGGGTGGAATATGTAAAGTGTGTTAACCTACAAAATTCATAAAAATGTACACAAATTTATACCTTTACGGATTGGGAAGGGCTTGAACAAATGCTACCTTATCAAAAGTCACCTTCTCGACCAAACTTAGCATTACATCAAAAAAATTCAGCATGAAGCCATCTGATGACAGCTTTGTTCGATCAGGCTGAAAATATATAAATGTAACACACTGAATTGTTGACTACAAAAGAATTTAGAGAAAATGTTGCATGGGAAAGTATGAAAGAATACTCGATGACTGGGTTGATGCATAAAAAAGAAATTATTACTCCGAAAACATAATGATTTAATTCAAATAAAGACTTTTCACGTTAGATACCTAAAAATTTACATTTAATTGTCGTCGTTTGCTGTTGACTGATAAGACACGAGTGATGAAATCTAATGTTCTGTCACGGCTTTGAGTGTTAACTAACAACTGATGCAAAATTTGATACATGTACCGCTGAAAATGCTTCATTTAACCTCAATTTTCGAATTAAAAAAAATGCGTCACTTAATTTTTAAATAGAAGTTTGAAAGTCGTATTTCCTGCATGACTTAAGCTTTCTTATTGCTATTATTATTATATAGCTATCTGATTACATGGTCAACATAAATGAAAATTTTTACCAAGGCAGCCAATATTTAACAAAAATTTTAACAATGGCCAACAAGAGCCCTGATTAACCTTGGTATTTTGATTTTTTTATCGGGTTTTATTTTTAATTTTAGAAGGGTTTCTAACCCACCAATCAGTTTTTTTTAAATAAGACTTAATTGTCATCGTGGATTTCATAATGACATGGGTACAATTTATAAAAGATTTATGAAATAAAAACAAATGGAAAGCAGACCCTAACAAGTGTTAAGTCATTTCGAAAAACAGAATATAACATTGGCTTTTCTTCATCTTCCGGAAGTTGATTACAATCGAAAAATCGTTCGTACGTGGATAACTGAAAGTAGTGCTCACTACAAGTGCTTTATCGAATAATATCCATGACTTTTAAATGCATTCTTACGCTTCCAGTATCAGAAGGAGCTGAGCTATACTCCAAGAAAGGCCCCAAATAACAGAGTTTTGCGAATTCATATCCTTCGAGATCACTCTGAACATCCCAAATAAAGTCATCACGAGAAACTAACTGAAATATACCAACTCTTCATGGCTACAACATGCACAAACTTGAAATGGTTCGGATGTAATGCTTCAATTAATAGTAAGACTCAATGAATATTAATTTTCTTTAATTCAGAGTGAAAAATTCGAGAACAGATGGAACCAAACCAGAACCATCAAACAAATGACTGCAACGTAAAATTAATGAAATATCATGAATACCAAAAACTAACCAATTCAGCAATAGGCCTTTTATTAGTTGGAGTTTTGATACAAATTAGAAACTTCACAAGAGAGTACGGATAGAATGCCACCTCTCGATCGTCTTTATTCCACATTTGCTGGTAAGACATTGATTTTTTAGCAGAATCCAACACAGGATTGAAAATCTAAAATTCTCTGACTTATTTAAAATGCACTGAATTTTATTTTCTAAGCATATTTGAATATGCATAAACTATATATAAACAATTTACATGATTTCCGAAATATATTGAAATTCATTGCATCTATAACCTCCTACATATTTCTACAACTCTCAATTGCATGAATTTTGTAAAAATAACTATGTAACTACTCCTCAAACTATTAATACAGCCGAAAGAATCGCTTAACTTCAAAAAAATTGAAAAACAAACATTTCACTTTACTTGCAAGATTCTATCAATATCTTTTAATTATTTCCAATGTGGAAACGGATTTTGAAAAACTGTGCAGCAATTTTTAAATTCCGACAAATATATGCTACTCTTCAAAATAACGCAGTGATAAAATTGTTCTTCCTTCCATAACATAAATTTTTTGTCAAAAAACAAAAACTTTTAACTATGACAATTTCGAACTGAAGGTTTCAAAGTCACAAGCTTATTAAAAGAAACCTCAGCTATAACACCGCGGCCCATCAAATTTTCGTCCGCACAATAATTAATTAAATTGTAGGCAAAAATTTCTGGTATCTGCCGTTGATAAAACATCCGAATAAAAGCAGCGGTCATATATTCAGCGCAAAATCTGGTATTTTAAAAACAGGGAGAAAACAAAATCATACATAATCGTATAAATTGAGGATTGCAAACAAAGTTTTGCCACCTTGCATTAAAATAAATCAAATACCACTGAGCAGTTAAGAAAGTCTTACTCTGCACCATAGAAGCCGCGAAGCAGGAAAGACGTTTGAACAAACACTCTTTTTCTAATGAGTATAATCAAGGACCTTTCATACTGCATCAAAAACTGCAATAAATGCAAACTTTAACTAATAAGAACTTTTACGCTTACTTCATACCTTTCAATAGATCTAAATTTCAAGTTTTTTTTTAAGTTAAATGATTTTTCAGCTGCAAACAACTTTACTTTCCACAAAAAGTATGAATTTAAGCTGTATAAAAAAGTCCTCTGAACCTGATTCTGTTCTTCAGCAGCCAAATTACCGTTCACTGTCACAAAACACTGTAAAGCCAATTCCTGCAACGTTAATGGCATACTAAATAGTGGTTCGCCCAGATGTTTTCCAAGCATGCTCACCGTATTTGGCTCCTTCTCTCTAAAGATTAATCAAATATACATTTCCATATAAAATAATATAAACATACTAAAGACTAAATTATTATGATGACTGATAACATTTCAATGAACATCTTGCTCACACAAAACTGATGCAACCTTTTTGTTTTAAAGAGCCGACTATTTCTTTTATTACATGATAGCGATTCTTTATATTTTTCATTACTTCAGTTATATGTGATTCCTTTCAAAAAATAAACGAAATACAAAGACTTACACGTTTGCCTTCAAACTGCACACAGCACGCATTAAAATATCATCGAGTGCGACAGAGAAATCAACTAAAATATGGCGTTTCTTGATGAAAAAATTTAAAATGAAAACTGGCGAAAAGGAGAAGACATATACAAAAATAACTATGAACAAAACATGCATCTTTAAAAGTACGTAAAATTAAATACAGTTTTCATTTCTTAGCCCTTATTTTTTGTGAAAGTTTTAATATTTGGACTTCCTTTAAAACCTTGACAAGAAAACATACTCTCATCGTTGAAATCCAACCTATCAATTGATTCTGCAATAGAATCCTTACAACTAGTATTTCTAGAAATTAAAACGCGAGTGAAGAGATTGCTAAGACGAGACAGCTTGTACGTTGTTCTATCCTCCATCTGTTAAAAAAATGTACAAAAGGTTCGAAATAGATTTTGAAAATACACATTCCAAAAAAAAGCTTAAATTTTGATGGTGTTCAATAAAATAACATGCTCTTTCAAAAAATGCTGTCATAAATTTTGAACTAAACAAGGCTAACTTCTGATCATCAAAAGCTTTAACTTCTGATCATTAAAATCATTTTTGACTCAACTACTTATATTTATTTACGTTGAAAAACAAACATATTTTATAGCAAACTATGCACTGTAGAACTCCAGCATTGAAAAAGGAATGATGATACGAAAAATTACCGAATGATCTTATTCCAAAAGATAAAACATAAGTTTACATAAATTATATCATTCAGATGATAGTGAGAAGATATGAAGAAAAAAAATTTTGTTCTTTGTATTATTTTTCTATACGCGATCTTAAGTATCGTATATCGCTTTTCTATATGTAATCTTCAAGATCATATATCGACATTCTACACTTCCAGTTCATTGAACTAACCCAAACATTAAATATTTCATTTCAAGCTTTCTTAAGAATTAATTACATTCCCTAATCTATATTCTTTTCAACACTTTATAATTTCAGAAAAAAAGACATGAAATTTCTATGGAGCATGAAAAAATCCCCGAAAAATACGCACTGCTCAATTTCAAAAGTGTAAAGAATATGAAGAATCAATCATATGCAGATGCACAGATATCGTCTATGCATGACTGAGGTATTTCAGAGAAAGAAGTCCACGGATTTCCTTGTAGTGCTTTGCAAAGTTAAAAAGGTTACAAACTTCATCAGTTGTTGCATTTGTCATGATGTTAGCGCTGTCGTGACGCAATTTCTTAGCACTCAGTTCTTCTAGTTTCGCAGTTGGATTTAGATCTGTTGTTTCCTCTGACCGCATCAAGCGACCAACTACTATATAAATAAAATTCGTCTCTATTCATTGTGCTTTGCAAAATTTGAATATCAAGCAATACGAAAATGCAAAAATAAACATTTCACTTCCGTTTTCGATATCAAAATATTATTCTACAGAAAATGAACTTAGAAAGCAGACACCGAGATAGATACCGCATTTTCAGCACTTATAAGAAGCAAATGAAAGTGTAAAGTAGCCTTTTTTTGCTTTATTCAAAATATTCATAATATTCATAAGTGTTTTTTCATCTTATACTTTATTAATTGACTCTGAGCAAGCATAATTCCTAATTAATGGAATTACTCAACTAAAAACTAACATTAAAAGAGACAACTCTAAAGTCATCACTTAACGTTACAATAAACGGTAACACATAATCAAACATATATAGCTTAAGTTTAGTTGTTAAGAGAAATAATACGGCTACTATAGTGGAGAATACCATTAACGACGGCTTAAAATGAGACCATCGTAGTTACGTGCACAACTGAAGTTTGATCGGTTCGGACACATTTGTAAATGTCACAAAATAGTTTCAGATATTCATAATTTTTTTATCATATGTTTATTGAAATTTTGCATATTGTTCCTGAACTATTTCTATAAGTTTAATATTGTATTTAATCATTCTTGATAGTTCCAATTAAGTTGTTGAATGTAGTAATGACTGTGATTTTAATTGCTTTTAATCTTTTGCAAATGTTTTCAAATTTTTTAACATTTTAGATTAACGTGAAAATGATTGTACAAAAATGAAAATTACTGATCGCTCAACTTTACATGTCATTCAACAGCTCGAAAATCAGAAGGTTATCAAAATCTTTTTTTCCTATTACTGTATTTGAATTATAAATTCTATACTGGTTATTTTCTAATATTGTGTCTTTCATTGATCTGGAAGATGGTTAATATTAAGTACTTGGAAAAGGTTATTATCAACTAATGCCTTTCTTTTACTCTTGGTCAGCGATGTAAATGTAGGAATCTTAGTAGTTGTCTATACGAATACAAACTTTGAATAAAGTTTAATCGCTGTTATGTAATTATAATTCATGCATCAGATTTTATTTCAGAATTAATTTTCAGTAAAATTTATTGTTACATTTCAATTTTATAATATTAATATTGCGGTCGTGTTCTTGGCTTTTTGCATGTACAATTCATGCATTTCTTGTCACAAAGTCTCTAAATTTTCATAAATTATTAAATAATAAATTTTCAAACTTGATCATTAAAAAATTTTTATACTTAAGGTAGTAGATATCTTTCCTCTATTTCAATTTTTAATAAGTTTTTATTATTCTAAGACTTAACAGTCACTGATTATTGTATGAGGCTTAAACATGAAATTGAATTTAAAGAGACTGTGAAGCAAAAGCATTAATTGGCTATGATTGATCCAGTAACATTATTGTGCAGTTAATGTTATAAGGTTATTATTATTTGCAGTTTGAACGCGAAATTGTTTTGAATGAAGCCATAAATGAAAGAAAAAGAGCATTTGAAGTAAGTTTAAAAATAATGCCGAGGCCATTTGACACTTAATTACAAACTTATTATTAAGGTACTGAAAGTATAACTGTTGTTTTGAATATCACATATAGGTTCTATTCTTAAGCTGCTTATTGAAATTGATCTTATTTCAATAAGTTTATGCGGAATAGTCTGTTGTATTTGTGAGTTATTAATGCAGTTTTTGGTTTTTGAAAATATTGCGACTATTATATTTTTTTAATAACTGAAACAAAGTACATGAACTGGAAAATAGTTTCTATCAGTGATATTAATAGCACGAATAAACAGTTGGGATTATTTCTTATTTGGACAAGAAATGGAAAACAAGTGACAGTTGCATTATCTATTTAAATGTTTGTAAAAGGACTTTGTCAGCTAATAATCTAGAATTTTTGCATCAGTGGTTTAGATTATTGTCGTCTACCTTTCAAAAATTAACTTTTTTCAGCTTGCGAAATCACAATTTGTATATCCTTACAAGGTTTTGGGTAGTTTTGCTGTAGTGATTCTTTCTGGATTATCTGCTTATCGGTATAAAATGTTGCTGCACTTAATACCAGCAGCAATAGCGATTCCTTACTTAGCATGTGAAACAGATTTTTGCTATGGACGGAGAACAGAGCGAATTAAAAGTAAATTTGTCTCATTAATTCACAAATAACTGGTGTTCATATTTAAAATGTAGTTGTTTTTTTGGTCTTTTTGAACCTTAATTATTCTCTTTAGCTAACCATTAGTTGTTTTCTTTTTGTTTAATGATGCAACGTTAATTCACTGCAAATTCTAGGAAGAGCAGATTTTTTATATCGGAAAAGGTTAGCGGAGTCTGGGCCCCATATTCTGATAGACGATGTAAAACAGCGTTTTAAAGATTTGGAAGAAGGGAGAGCATTAGATTAAATCTCAATTGTTTAATCATTTGTTCAATAAAGTTATGAATGAATATATATTTGTATACGTGATTTGATTTGATTTTTGAAAGATATTAAGATTTTTTCTTTCTTACCTTACGTGCTTTTCTTTATATTGTTATTATAAGACTTATAAATTCTAAGATACAGCTACATTTCTCGTCAATTTGTCAAATCAGAAAAAATTAACTGCTTCTATAGTTGCAAGCACTTTCATAAATCCGTGTCTTCAGAAGTTCATTAAAGGGATGAATTGTATTGAATCCTGGACACTCCTGAAATTTATATTAACAAGGAAACTTTAGAAGGGTCAAAAGTGTCATAATCATATTGGTTCCTGTTCCTCTCTTGTAAATTATAAGCTATTAATTTTAATGCATTTATATAATAAAATATTGCATTTCATTTGGTTTTTTCCAGCTAGTACATGAAAAATGAGGGAAACTCAGCATGATAGTTTTGTCACCAAAAAATACCTTATGGATAAAAAGTTGTGTGAGAAATGTCTCATTATTCTAATTATTCTACCAGTTCTCAATTCACAAATAGTCTCGAACAAACAAAAATAGTGCCAGATTTATCTTGAAGGTTCGTCTTGTTTAGTATTAATTTGGTTTAAAAAAGTGAAAGCCATTGGTCTATTTCTGCCTGCGCTTTTAGCTTTGTCCTATTTTTTCAAAGTGAAAATGTAATATGTACAACATCAAATTGTATCTTTAGATTCTTATCTTTGCTTTGTTTTCATTTTTATCTGCATTGCTTGTGTACTGTTATTTTGTCTCCAAAGTATTTATTACGTGATTTCTTAATTTATAATTAGAATAGTATGTAATTACAATAAATGACTTCATGTTTATTTTTTTCAGTTCGAGGTATTACTTTGACACAGGAAAGGTGTTTTTTCTGCTTCTGATGGGTACTGTATTTTCAAGCAATTCTCTGTTACAGCAGTACTACGATCAACAGGTTGCTTGTTATTTAATTTCATTTTGTAATCAGTATCATGAGGTGTAACGTAAAATGTAGTTTTTAGAAAAAATTTTACGTTACATAATAATTTATGACCGCAGCGTGTTGACCACATACAGTATTTCTATTCTCATTATGAGACTAGTCTTCTAAAGTTTTCTAATTTCAGAATTCTTGAAATGGAAGTCGAAAACTATATTACGTTTGAAAATTTTGAAAGTATTTTATTTTATAGGTCAAAGAACAGATTGCGTTGCAGAATGTTTTGTTTGAACATAAACAAGCTATGAAGGTTATTTGGTGCTGTTTCATAGTTGCTGTTCATTTATTTTCGTTTATTTGTGTTTTGAGATGGAAGATTAAGATTTACATCATTTGAAAAGTTGCATACTAAGAGTTGTTTGAATTCTCTCATAAAAATGTTGTAGGTAGAACCGTTGGATGATTATTTTAGGCTGCAGAAACAAGAAGACTTGTGGGTAATGAGTTTTTAGCTGCATTCTTGACTGTTTCTTTGGTATTACTGGGTCAGAAAATTAAGCAACCCAATCTATTCATCATACCCGTGTTTCCACTTGTTATTGGTCTTTTTTGTAATTTCGAACTACAACAGGATATGACACAAGATTTTATTAAAAGTTAATTTTTCTTTTTTTGGTTTGATTTAGTAAGCTAAAACTTGTTGAACATTAGATATGTTTTGTCAAACTTTGTCTTCTCTAACATTTGATTAGTTGAATCGTAAGTATATTGAACTCTCGACCTTTCAACCGTCATCAAACAAATTATGTGTGTTCGAATGATTGTTTAGTATCATTGCGTGTTAGCCATATTCAAATTTTAAAAACAGTGAAACTAACAGATTTTTGAAAAAATCATTTAAATTTCATTTTGCTGCTGGCAGGGAAACATTATGATTTGATGTTTTGCTAGTTATCGTTTCATAATCTTTTTCTGGCTCTGAATAAATTGACAAATATTGATTGTTCCCAAAAATATCAAATTCATTTCAGAAGCAGCTGACCGACTATTTCAAGAAAATCGTCAAGTGTTTGAGCCAGTTGGTGGTCCCATTACGTTGGCTGAAATCGACAGGCGCATTGCTGCCGTAAAGGATCACGAAAAACATGAATCGAATAAAAGTCATTAGGTTTCAGCTAAACCAGCTGTTAAACAGAGCTTGCATTTTCAAAATAAACTGCAAACTGATTTGGCTAACAAAACAATAAAACAATACTTTCTTGTTGATTTTAGATAAGGATGTTATGTGTTTATGAATTTTGTATATGAATTTTTACTTCGAATGTTATTTTTAAAATGACTTTTAATCGTATTATGTCTTAATTTTTACTAGTTTCTCTTTAGTATTAATATTCCGAGTTTGTTGTCATATATTTTTGAGCTGTGATTGGAAACAAAGTCCGCAGAAAATGCTTTTTTTTTAAATTAGAAATGAGATTTCAAAGAATAAAATTGAACGAATCAGTTTTTAGACATTATTTTCTTAATTTCTGGAAAAAATCTTGATGGAACTGAACAGAATTCACTTCTATTAGTAGAACATTAGATTTGCAAATTGATCACGCAAAATTACTCCGTAAAATGATAGGATATCAGTATCTAGAAAGTCCAGTTTGTTTTATTTACTGCTTAAGTATTTATAAATCTGGTCCCTCCGTTTAATGCACTACAATTACTATTAATTTATCCACTGATTACTTGTTTTGTTTTTATTAAATAAAGATAGTTAATGATTTTTCAGTTGTATCAATTCGATTTTCATCTATTGCTAGGTGTGTGAAAGACAGTTTGTGAAGCTTCTGCTAGAAGTGCCTGCTCCAACTGATCAATACTTAATTTTTCGATTCCTGTGACGTCGCAGTATACCTAAAATTTGGGTTAGATTAAAAAGTTTGTTGAAACTGCGGCAATAAAAGAGATTACTGTCCATTACCTACTGGACTCACTTTTTTAGAATAGTTTGCTTCATTTTCAGCATCGTGGTAAATTTGCAGGTAGGGATGAGAAAGAGCTTTTTCCGCTGTTGATCGATTCCATGGCGGTATGACCAGCAACTAAATCAAATTGATAAAGTTCATAATACTAATGAATTCCTTCTTTGGTTTTTTTTTCCTTGTTATGTAATACAAAATACCGAATTCAGTAAGTCTAGCGCTTGGGGATTCGTCTTAGGTATAATTGTGCTCCATGGAAGCGGATCTCTGGTACCAGAACTTTCAATCCAACTGAAGAGAAAAGTGCTTTTATTACCAAAACGTCATTAATGGAGAGAAGAGTTCCATTATCTGATTCAAGTAAATGGTTACCGAATGATGAGTTCGGAGCTGATTCGTTCCATGAAAGCCTATAACAGTTTGATCACTTTTGATCAGTTGTGCTCTAGTTTTAGTTTGAACTGATTCACTGCTGAAATCATTTTTTTCATACTTTTCCTGGCATTAAATTTCCTGTGTGATTCGTACGAAGGTTAAACTTCACTGTTGTGTTTAAAAATTTAATATTTTATTTAAATATGAAGTGGAATCGGGTTTAAGTGTAGACTTGAGAAAGGATATTACTTTTTCTGGTGTTCCCAAATAGTAAATGATCATTTTCACTTGACTTGCAGCATCTTTCCCCGGAAATAGCTGTCGACGAAGTAGCATTTCAGCTAATATGCAGCCTGCTGACCAAATATCCACTCTTTAACTGGAGGTCATTATTTTGAGTGCTAAGTTTGAATTTTATGTGCAGTTTTGAATTTCAGAAAAGAACATAACAATCAGTGTTCACGAGATTGTATGTTAGACTTGAAAAATATTTCTAGAAATAATAAAGTTACTTATGAGTAAAGGTTGTGCCACATGAAGGAATCATTAAAAAAATACTTTGTATCGTAATCAATGAGGGAGAAAAGCAATTCAGGAGCTCTGTACCATCTTGTTGAAACATACTGCTGAAAATGAAGTTTATATGAAGTGAAATAGAGGATGAAGATGTGTTGTTTCAAACGATGAATGTGTGAATCACAAAGCCTTACAAGTTAGATAATCTTGTATTGCAAATCACTTACAATATTACTATTAATTTATCTAGAAAAGAACAAGATTATTGGCAGATAAAAAGTTGATTGCATTCATGCCTTCGATTAATAATATATAGATCTGTCAATCAGTTGAAATCTAGCATCGAGTGAGACTTACGCTCATATAATTCTCAGTAAAGAGATCATTTAATTGTTCAACTGATCGTGCCATACCGAAATCACCAATTTTCAGTAAACAGTCACTGTTTACCAGCACATTTGATGGCTTTAAATCACGGTGTACTATACCAGCCGAATGCAAATACTATAATCACGGAGAATAAGAATCATGGTAATTTGTTAAATGCAACATCGTTTTAATTTATTTATTTTTACATGTAGTCTCTTTCGCAGTTTCAGTTTGCATGCCATTATAACTAATAATAGTAACCTAACCTTTAGTCCTCGTATAATCTGATAAAAGAAGTATTGGTAATGTTGATCAGTGAGATGTTGCCGGCTATGAATGATACGATGCAAATCTGTCTCCATTAGGTCAAGAACCATGTATACATCCAAACCCTGTTAAGTTATTTACATGAAATCAATTCATCCTAGTAGATCAACCTCACTTTTCTATGTTTGAGGCTAAAGGAAAATGTTTATTTTCAACATTTTGTTTTAATGCATTCTTTCTAATATTCTTTCTCTAGTGCTATCCACAATCTAATTTTGTCTACTACGGAATATGCCAGCTAATGGGTTACATATTTTAAATATAGTCTAGAGTCACTCTTTCATTTAGATTAAAGATATTTAATCAAAAAATTTGGTGCCAATTTTTTATTCCTGCACTCTTCCAACTTATGTTGCAACTTAGAAGCAGACTAAGTCATCGTCTTTTTCTGATAGCAGTTTTTTTCTTTGCATTGAACTATAATAAAGTAAACTTACGTGGAGTCCAGGTGTAGCGAAGACGTCATGAACGGAAACGATATTTTCATGACATAAGTTGCGTAATATACGTATTTCACGTAAGGATCGCTTCATAAGAATGGCCACAGAAAACACTTGAGAGATTTTTTTAATTGCTATCTGGATTCCTGTTTTCTGTAACTTTTTGATAGCTTGTGTCTGAGCCAAATTTCAAGTATTTAAATGTATTTGAAGCCGTATCTAAGAGTAAACATTAGATGTGAATAAAAATGTTTAAACTCACGAAAACTATTACTTTCATTATTTGAGTTATAAAATGAAATTTTGAATTTTTATGCGCTAATCACTAGTTAATTAGCTTTAGAAATTCGGTCTTTACTTTTTTTAAATCATATTTTACCTGATTAAAGGCTTTGCAGACCACTCCATATGCTCCGGTACCGATATTTTCAATGGCTTTATACGAAGTATTTTCCAAATTAAATTTCACACCTAAGAAGGCCTGCGCTGTTGTCATAACAATGTTTTCTCTAAAATTTAAACATTAATTGTGTTTGATAGCAGTCATGAATCTCAAATCATTAATATGCAAATGACTAATTAGTAGTGTTTTTTTTCGCTTTATTGTATATGGGTACCGCTGTTTCTTAAATCCTTAAAAAAAGCAATCTTTTAAAATTGTGACCAGCAGTTTTAAAGATAAATGATAGAATTATTAATCCGTTGATTATTAATGAATTTCAGATTTATGGGGATATGCATGATTAACTCACTTGACTTTCTTAATATATCTTTTTGAGTAAGTTTAGTCTTAAAAATTATAGCTTAGAAGTGATAAAAAAATTTCTAAATCACTTTCGTTACTTAAACCTCAACTAAACGCATATGGCTCAAAAAATTTTTTACAACGCTATTTCATCTTGGAATCAGTGTCAAAAAACAATTCTTTGCTTTTTCCTTAATTTTACTTTTTTGTCTTTTACAACTTTTACAACATGCAACTTATTCTATTGCAAATATTAATAAGGAATCAAAAACTCCAAACGCTTGTTTGATTATTTCAGTTTGGAAAGCTGAGAATTGATTGTTAAACAATAAAAGATATATGTAAAGTCTATCCAAAATTTATTTTAAATAAAATCAAATAATTTTTTTACTGACAAAAATTTTTGTTAACGAAATAACCATTCATGATGCACGAATAAATGCAAAAAACGCCCTTATCACTATGCATGAATCACATATTACTATTAATTTTCAAAATACACTATTATACTTTATCAGTACATTGCTATCATTATATGACATTCATTATCAAAAAAAGACCCAATGCCATGCAATTTTATCCTGATAAAATAATCTTCGAAAAGTTACACGTTGACTTCACAAGTTCTATTTCTTCATTAGAAATTTTCAATCAAAACTGAGCAAGACATTATTAGTTGTAAATGTTTTAAAAACAAGCAAAATTATTTTTTAATCTATTACAAATGCAATTAAAAATGGGTAATTAAATAATTCTAATTCTATTTGTCAAAAAATTAGCAAGTAACAAAAAAAAAGAACAGAATAATGAAATGGCCGAAATTTTCTGAAAAATTACACAAATTTCAGGAAATTTTCAGTGCCTCATTCATCTGTTTATAATACGTTTGCTATAAATAGCTATCAGGGATCAAGAGAAAAAGTAAAGTGCACAAATTTTCAAAAAATTTTCGGAAGTTTATAGGAAAATGCAATTTGGTCTTGCATCTGCCATCATAAAATAAATTTCAAATAATATTTAGCAGCAGTGGAAATGCTGCATTTGATTATTCAGAATTGATAAAGGTATATTTTGATGACAAACTTTTCTTTAGAATATATGTTTGCATAGACGACTTGTGTTTTTTTCTTTTTTTGAAACGAAACGCTAAGTCTTTTATATTATACGTGCTCACTTGAATAGTTTTGCTTCACTACATAAATATTTTTTTAAAATTGCAATTTGCAAAAAAGTTCTTTATGAATACTAAATGAAAATAAAAATTTTTAGTTTTTTAATTTTTATTTTTTGATATTTGTTTTAATTTCCAATATTATTAAATCTTTTAGTTTCTCAAGAGTTATTGAAATTTCGACTCATTCACTTATAATTTATTTATTTATTACGTTGATTTCTGAAGCTCATTTGCGATGGTTTTTAATAATTTTATTTCCATGCTTACATTAGAAATTATTAAGTCACTCGTCTGGAAATAAAGCATTGTTACAATGCAGATTCTAGTATTAATGTTTGCTAATCAAATTTGGTAATTAATTCATTTATATCAAGCTAAAAAATTGCAAAAACTGTTTTTCAAACATTTACTGTTTTTTAATTTTAAGCAAGAGTTATAGTAGCAAAACACTGAGTTGATTATCATTTCAAATTGAAATGTAATCAAATTACAAGTGAAATTCGTATAAGTGAAATTTAAAAAAAAAAATTGTTTTTTTACAGTATTAATTTTTGATAAGCCAACTCATTACTTTTATTGCATTATTTTTTACGGAAAGCAATTTGAGAATTGGATGTTATTGAAAAATTTTAATTTGAAATGGATTCCACTCTGACCCTTTGCATTAAGTTGGTACTTTTTCTGTGATTACCTAAAGAAAAAGCTGCTTAGGTTGCTATAACAACTCTAAAAAGTTCTATTTTATCATTTACTTATGAATACTTATTTCATGTATGCTTAAAGCACCAAAAAGAAAGTGAAAAAGCGAAGAAATTGAAAAGCAGCCTGAAAAAATACTGGTAATAGCAAGGTATTTCATTTTTATTCTGTATTGATGCTAACTGCATATTTCTCGACACAAGAGAGTTTATTCTTTACATTCATTAATCACAGTTGCATTCAACTTATTACTGCTGCATCATTTTTTCAAACTTGTCTAACAAAATTGTAGTTAGCTTTTTGATTTTCTGAAATTCTACTTATCTTTTCGTCAGAATATCCGATTTGATTATTACTTTTGAATAAAATCAGGAAAATAAATAAGTGGCAGTATATGATCGGGAATGCTTTTTATTTGCTGCATAATCATATATTTTTCTAAAATAACTTTTATCAACAATTTTTACACTTTTTCTGCTTTCATACTCTATGAAGCATGCATTATTATTGAATATGATCTGTCTGATGTGGAATTTTTGTTTTCATTGTTCTTCAAACTTTTCTCTCAAATATACTTCGAAATAAATGCGTTAGTTTTTTGAAACGGTTTTGACTCTCTGCTGAAATCCTTCTGCACAGTTTTTAAGTTTGTTCTTGTAAATCTCGGACATTTTCAATCAGTCGGTATCGGATTAGTCTGATTTATATTCTACAAGACTTTTCACATTTCTTTTTTTTTCATTCTGTAAATTGAAGAGTAGAAAATGAGTACTTTTGTTTGCAGTAAATCATCTAGCGTAAGATGCCGTCAACAGACATTGAATATATGTTTAAAATTAAAATTTCTTCTGTTAAAAAATTAAACGATCTCTTCTAAATACTTTCGAATAATAACTGACTATTCTACCATATTTCAACTGTCGTCGTATTTTCATTAGTTAAGTAATTTCAGCAGATTTTCAAAACTTTTCCTATCATATTTGTTATCTTCATGCACGTGAATTTTATTAAGTTTCGATTCTAAGGATCCATATAATATATTCAATTTCCTTTTTAGTTTATCATTGATTAATATAATGCTATAATGGCTCTGCAAAAGCATTGTAAGAAGTAAGCAATCTCAATGAATATTAAGCACAACTTAGTTGAAAATGATTGCACCGTTGCACAAGTTAGTAAAATGTTTCATATTACTACTACTGCTATTTATTATCATTACTGTTATCACTGTCATCATTATCATCTATTAATAATATTAATATAATGATAATAATGAAAAACCATTACCGTTATCATTATTAATATTATTATTATTATTGTTATTAATAATTAATTGTTAATTATTAATTATTAACTACTGTTTATCCCTTCTATCACAATGAAATGTTTCATAACTTTTGCTTTTTACGTTATTTTTTATCTCAGTATAACCAGATGGAACTCCTCTTGACGACTTTCGAAAGCATATTTTTCGTTTCATTTAATTAATTCTGATTTAAATAAATTTTCGAATTTGATGAAATGAATAACGATTCAAGACTTAATTTACTTTTTTCCAAGTTAAGTGAGTTATTATTTAATCATCTCCATACATGAAGGGAATGGTTTTGGAAATCTTATAATGAAAATTTAAGTCACTACCCTTTGAAGTTTGTCGTGGTTAGTCGATAGTTTTATGGACTGATAATATTCAAATTAAATTATTATTGAATGAAAGTTTCTTTTTTGTTATGTTTCTGAAAATTCAAACACCCTTTGCACTGTATATCAAAGTTCAATAATATTTAATTGATTTTTATAACGTTTTCTGCGTTAACTATACCACCAGCAGCTAATTTTCTCATATATATACATTTTAAGTCATTTTGATTGATGTGAAACTTGAAAATAACATGCGATGAAGAGAGTTTCGATCGCTTCATTATGCAAATATTCCCTTTTAATCTCTTAGCTCCATTAACCCAAGCGTATATAGTTTGTGGTATTTTTCACTTACTTTCTCTCATAGTTATCATTTCTAGGGAAAAAAAGTTATTACCATATTTAGAGAAGAAAGAATCTGAGCAATTTTTCAAATGTTGCGGTAAAATATTTGATGAAAGTCATCGTAAATGTGCCGAAATATCGTTGACTGTACCCTCGATTTCATTGTATTTGTCATGTTTCCACTGCGAAATTCATCTTCAAATTATCTTTCTGTTCGTTCTTTGTAGATTTTTATTTTAAATTAAATATTTAAAAAATAAGTCTTTTTTTCTATTAATTCACTGAATAAGGGTGTTAATTGCAATTTTTGAATGGACTTTTTATAAACTTGTAACATGAATTTAAAACATATTCTCAACTCATAAAATCAAGCGTAAATCTTCGCAACAGGGAGGTTTAGCTTTATAATTGAACGAAATTAAGTACATGTGTTGAATTAAACTGGTTATGCCGAATGAAGAAGAATATCGGATAAAAATTGAAGAGTTCAAAATTTTCTTGACAATAAAGATGAAACATGTATTACTGACATGCAAGTCGTCCACTATTTTGCAGAGTCTGGGAAGCATACTGCTTTTCGGGAAATAATCCAAGTAAAAATTATGTGAATTGCAAACGTTGAAAATGTTGTTGTGCAAAAATGAATGGTTTGCCAATATCTTTTTTGTGACTTTCAGTTTATTCCGATTTTTTATGACATCATTTTTCTCACTGGCGGTAAGCACTTAAAATTAGCTAATTTCTGGTATAAAGATGAAGATTCGAACATTTTTTGATTGAAGTCTTATTTCACATTTCTCTTCAAACAAGGATGTACTTTGAAAAAACATAGAGATTTCCAAATTTGGACGATTCGAAAGAGCAAAAACAAAAAATTGTAAAATTTTGGGAT